TTAGAAGGTTGTAATTGTGACTTGGGTAGGATTCTCATTCCATTAAAGGAGGTCTCCAAATTATTTTCGAAATATTTGGGCCAAATTGAATTGATTTGCTCAGATGGAAAATCATGATTAATGTTTGTCTGTTAGGGGTGTGTGATAGACTTACCTCCATGTGGTGCACCCTGGTCAACGTATACTCATACGACAAAAAGTCTATAAATTGACAGTTGACTTCTGACTTCTGACCTACTTTCACAGTACTCACCTTACATTTTTCTCCACCTTTCTGTCTGTCTGTCTCTTTTAATACTGTGAATCACTCTTTTGTCCCTCCCCCCACTAGACTTTTTGTGACTTTGATGTTCTTCCCCACCGTGAAGTCCAAAGTCAACTAATGGGCTAATAATAACTATCAAAATGCCTGTCATTTGATATAAATGTTTGTCTATTATTGAACTTATTTTCTATAATTTCCAATAAAGAATCTTGATAAGATATATGTGTCTACAGGCTTACCGAAAACTCATTTTTTACTTTTAAGTAACGACATGTATTGCTTTGCTCCAAAAAACTGTACTTAGGCTGTCCGTTCTTGGCTCATGGTCTTAGCTTCGGAGTATTCCTCTCTTCTGGTCTTGGCAATGAGACATCAAAGAATTGAATGAGAATTCTAAGATTCTATCGGAAAAAGAAATGACTGGTTTTGAAACCACTTTGTGACAAGGTTCTCCGAAGAACAGCTTCCTACTAATTGTCCTCAAATGAACAGTTTTGAATAAAGCACTTTCCCCATTCAATGTATCTTGAGATTTTCATAATTCAACTCCTCCAATGTTCAGTTTAGATTTATTTATGATAATTTAAACAACGTAGAACAATATTAGATCATGTCAAATGTGCATACATTTGACTTTGAATTATTTGATGAAAGAGGTTGTTGCTAATTTCTCAATTTATATGTAAAATTTTTAAGCAAGTTGACCTGAATCAAGGTCTCTGATAGTTGGTATAATTGTGGTAAAGGAGCTATTTCTCCCCCAGAATGACAACTCATCAAAATACTATAGTAGGTATAGCAATAATTCTGGGTTTGTCATTTTTGGTTGCTTCCAAGGTTTCATTAATCTTTACTACAAATGTTCTTAGATTGGGTCCTAATAATTAATGTCTTATAACTATTAATTCAAAACCGCTTTTGATGTCTCTATCGGTATCCAAATAGAAAGTGTTGTTACCTGTTTGCTAACAGTCGGAGCATTACGTGTCGATTTGGATTATAATGAATGCTTTTTGTGCCTGTGTGTCAGTTATTGCTCACTGTCAAGCATCACTTAAGCCGACCAATAAAAGCACTGTGTGACTACTGGGGTTAGTGCGCACATAACGCATCGTCGCACGTGTGCACTCAGTGTGAGTTAAATTCATCGCTTGCAGTTTCCTATTTAAAAGCGCGGAGATATTAGAGTGGGATTCAAGGCACTCCTAGCACAATCTCACCAGCCTGTATCCTTTGCTCATCAAATTCTTCTGTTCTTCAGTTGATATATCCACGTGAAGAGCCCTTCATGACATTTCCTCATCTTAAGTGGTACCGCTCAATGTGAAACGTGAAGCTGGAGTGGATTATAAACTCCAAAATCATACGCCTATGTTTCTAGTTGGTCAGGAATCTGGGAGACACTATTTAGTCCTGAAATCCACTGATTTATACAAAAACTTACCTCTCCTCGCCTCATCTATTCTCACAACAATTTTCTCTCTATGGAATAAACACATTCCCACCCTATTTTCGAATCTTTGGCATAATTTTAATGAAATTTTGGGAGCCAGAAGTATTCAGACAATCAGATTTCCTTCAGAAAGATACAGAAATGACGAGGTCATGTCGCGAAATTGGATCTATTTCTACTCAATACTAGTCCTGATTCTATTTCTTTCAAATCTTATTCCAACAGCTAACGCAGGTGTTTTAGGACTTGGTCGTTCACAACAGGGTTCTCATCAGCTTCAACCGCAGACCTCTCCATTTTCTGATCCGGCAAATACAGGTGTAGAATCAGTACCTTCCCCCGATGATTCCACGATTGTAATACGCACAGTTCCAGTGTCTGTCCTACAGCCAGTACAACCAATTGGCCTTCCTTCAATGAAACCATACCAATTCCTCGTGCCCCCAATGAATCCTGAACCTCAACAACCCGCCCCCGTTCCTGTATATTATCCCAATTATAATTATTATCCAGTTTACGGTTCACGGGGCTACCCGAAATCCCAATTTTTTGGCAACTGCGGACCCTATAATTCAAGGCGGAATTCTCAGCAAAATCGACAAAAGAACGGAAATCGAAGACGCAAGGAAAGGCGTAAAGGTGAAAAGTGTCCAAAAGTCTGCGACACTTGTATTAAGACTCACGGTAAGACAACAATTAATTTCCCATATATTAATTTAATTGATGGTATATACCACTGAATGTATAAGTTTACTTAAGTCACTTTGTTATTTATCTCGCCACTTAATAACGCCATATACGTATCTTCTCGGTCGTTTCTAATCGATTAGTTATCGGAAGGAACTTTGTGGATACTTATATTTCGATCGATATTTCATTGGTTTGATAGAGTTGTTAGATAAATGAAAGTTTACTAAAACGCTAAGTATATTATAACTATTATTGCACTTTATTTCCGATATATCCATGATTAGTTAAGTTGGAATTTTTTAAAGAACTTCGTTGTGATTTTTGGTATAATTAACGTCTTCACAAAATCCATGTCGATCTATTAAAAGAAAAGGTTAAAAGAAATGTATTGCTGTAATTAGAATTGGGTAATAATGCTCACTTTTCCTCTAAATAACTTTCATCCATGTGAAATTACTTACTGGAAGAAGGGTAGCTTTAACAAAGGCGGCAAAAAATGATATCGGCACGGCTTTTTGATAGCTATGAAAACATTTTAGAAGTTTAGAAGGTTACTAATTAAATTTTAAACAAGTACTTAGTTAAATATGCAAATTCCTTTAATGTTAAGAATTGTTTCTAATACGCATTCTATTTGAATGCTCACCTTTTGTTTATTGGTAGTGTGTTTGATGGGGCCAATAATTGGGAATGAATAAAATGTCAAATTTACACCTTGACTAAGCTGACAAATTGGAGACAATTTCTATGTAATGTACTATACTACTTAAAATAAATTAGCTTTCTTAACAATTTCATTTCGTATAAGTCCTTTGAGAAATGTTAATTTGATTTTGAAGAAAAAGATAACCGCGCTTCCGTCGAAAACAATTAATTCCAAACCGGACAAGTACTGTAGGAAGGAGAAAACCCACTTTGTCATTTCTTCTATTTAATCTAGTTAAGAGGATTTACCAGGAGAAGAATTCCAAATTTCTCACAAGAAATTTCATTCAAACACACATTATAGTACTTTCGATTTATCGAAATGAAATTCACTGCCAAACACGCTTCAATGTGGAATTTATCTAACATTGCAACGGAGTTCCGTTTGAGGGTTAAATTGGTTAAAAACAACAGAGTAAACATAGGGGATTATGAGAGACTGATTTTAGGCTTAACGTAAACTTTCTGCATTTCATAAAAATTATGAAGTATTCCTGATTAACCAATGCAATCGATTACATCTCCTACTGGTTGCATAAAAAGTTTGTTTCGTGTTTTGGCGTTCAATTTAAAAAGATCCTCAATTTTTTTAGATTTAAAACATGAAAGAGAGAAGGATGAACTTCAAAAACGATTCGCTTTTCACGCAAAACCAGCTTTACAGAACACTAACTCTGTTGAAGCCCTGTTCAAATATATGGATGGAAACAGTAAGTCGACGGTCTTAAATCTAATCTAATTAAAAAATAGTAGTATTTACGCTTCGTACATCGTATGATTTTAATTTACTATTTGCGTAATCGTATATTAGCGACATGTTACGATCAAAACTTGAAAATGCAGTACCTAATTTGAAGGCATTTCACTTTAAGGTGTGCAATTGAAATTAATGTCTTATTCCATAATCACATTATAGTTATGACCTCGTTTGATTCATTTTAATTCAAATTAAATTCATTAAACTTGGTTCTACGTAGAAGCAGGCATTTTATTCAAGAAATTTTGTTTATTGGAAGTCAAAATTCATCGGATTTTTGAGGGCGGGGAAATGTGATTCATGAAAGTACTTTTGTCGACAATCACGAGGATTTTCGATACAAGTGTTTTAAAAAATGAAATTGTTTTATAGTGAAACAAAATTATTTTGAGATATCAAATATAATGAAACATTCGTTATTTATTTGCCCTACGAAAAGGACATTAAATTTTACCAAATCTTCGAAAATTGTTTGTCTACAAACAAAATCACGAGTCGCATTAGCATCATTATTGTATAATTTCGTCTATTTCATGCCTAGGTTTTCAAGAATTTAGATTAGGAATTAGGAAGTATGTTAGATAATCTTCAAAGCTTTCATCTCACAACTTTGCTTCTCAGCCATTTCAGTATTCATTTTGACAGTCTTCAGTAAAACATCCTAGAATAGCAATGATAATTACATAAATGGTGTTGATTGTTATTAAAATATATAATTTTCTTGATATAACGCATTCAATTTTATGATTTTTTCCCTTTCAGATGACGGTTCCATTAGTTTAACTGAACTGCAGAATTACCTACTGCTTCACAACATAATATCCCCCGAAGTTCCCAAATAACCCTCTGTCAAACCCCCATCAAGCTGTCAAGGAAAACAAGGACTAATATCTTCAATGTGAACTCAATTCCCCATATACTCTTGCATTCTTCCAAACTACTACCTAAGCACATTTTAGCCATTTGAACCGGTATAAGGTATTTATCATTGTACTATCTGCAACAATATTATTACTTTTGTACAAAGATTATCAAGTTCCAACAGTTACTAGTCTTCTTAAACTGTTTTGTTTTATCTGAAATTTTTTTATAAGCCAGAATAGGATGGAAGTTGATTCAAGCAACTTAGGATATTGGCAGAATTCATTTATTTATTTTTCAAGCTGTCAAATAAATTTAAAAATGGCATCATTTTCATACTTGACGGCAATAACATTTATAAAAGCTATATGAAAATTGGACTTTCACATAAACTTATTTCATTGTTCTTTTTTTAGTTCAGATGAGCACTACCGCAATACAGATATATCACGAAATTTCTTCAAATCAATTATTAGTGAGGTGAAAATTACACGGCCCCAATTAATTGTTGGAAAGATATAGCAAAACGTACTACGGTCCATCATGTATCAAAAATGGGTTTTCATGTTTACAATTTATTTTACGACCTTGAGAAAAGGTCTCTAATGCACACTTACTAATCACCAAACAGTTTTTTATGATAATAAATTAGAAACATGGTTTTGCAGACTGTGATGTGATTAGTCTAGAACTTTAGACACCAAATTCGACTTCCACTTCCAAGCACCTTCACAGACACAATAAGGTTATATTTTACAGAATTAGAATTTTAGGGAATAGTATGGTGAATTTCCTCATTTAACTTTGAGTTAACAACTCATTACAAAGTATCGATCTCCAATGAGAGAATAATTTGCCATACATCGTATGATTCCTCAAACATGACCCACCTTCCAAGCCATCTCTGAACTCAATTTACTTAACTTCTATTTCGCAATTTGATAAGCATTTAGTCCAAATGATTGAAGCTTCAGTAGATCGATAAATCGATAAAACTATCAGGAAAAATGTTACAATTCTGCATGGAATTGAGTTTCTGGGTTGAAAATAGCCCCTTTTTTACCAAAACCAGAGTATATCGCAATATAAGGACAAATTTTGTAAAAAAGTTGATCATATTTTTACGTGTTATATGTAATAGTGGGGCATGAAGGACACATACTTCGGTGGTGAACTTTTGCAGCAATCCGTTAACTAGTTTAAAGTATTTGTGAATAGATAAAAGGAAAAGGTGAATCATTCTTGATTTCTTGCAAGTAACACGATTTCTGTGAATCACAGACACACAAGAAAATAATCATTTACGTAAGTAAAAAAGGGGGCGTGGTGTGTGTAATTCTCGGTTAAGGCTTTCTTCCAGCTTATACGTACCAACACTAATAATAGAAATATGATTCATTCATTTAGTCATAAGCTGACTAAAACTAGACAAAGGAATGAAAAACATAGGAGTACATATTAACCAGTGAATGTAAACAACAACAAATCATATTTCATTCTGTTTTATTGTTGTCATTGGTCCAAAAAACGTCCCAAAGCTCTTCTTTTTCCTCTAATAGCTCAACTGACCAATGGCTGTGTTGCATTTAAACTAGGACATGACAACAGTTTCATTATTTCTGATTGAATAAGGATGACATTTCTATCGAGTATTACGAACAGAGTACTGAGGAATTATCTAACTTGAGCAAATTCAATGCGCAAAATATAATTATAAAACTGACTGGACTTACTTTTACGACTAAAATTGCGCCTTTTTTCATAATTGTTTCATTTTATTCTGCTTTAGCTGATTACGGAAGAGGAACCCTAAGATAAAGATATCACTCCAACACAAAGATTTAAATTTTCAAGCAGTTTTATTGTATGCAATGCTGTTTAAGTTCAATAGTTGACGAAGGGAAGAAACGATGGATACCTGATATCTAAACACGTCAAGATGGAATGAATCTACTTTATTTTCAACTGAGTCATTTCCTGTGAGAATTATCCTGTTTTTCCCTCTATAACAACTAAACCGCTTATTGGACACCCGCTGAACACAGTAATCCAACAACAGCAAATGATAAATAAATCAGAACACACTTTAAAAACATTTTGAATATTAAAATTACCCACCCCCATGAACATATTCACATCAAATCAAGTGTTAATCTGCCTTATTTTATTCACAAAACTTAGGTTGATAGGTCTCAGCTCACACCAGTTGTGTGATTGGCAAACACGATATGCCAAAATAAGACAGTGTATTGTTAGTAATTGGAAATAGAAATCATTTAGCCAAACAAATAATCAACACATTTTTCGTAAAAATCATATAAAACAATATCAAATGCATATTATTTAACTTATCTGTTATAAGTACTTTATTTTTTCCTTTAGCATAATAATAATGGTACATCGTGAAATAATAAGTAATAAATCAAAGGGTTTTTTTCAATTGAATTGATTGATTAATGAACAGAAAAAATCATATGGAATATTGTAAAGTTAATTGTGAGATCGTATAAATAAAAAGGTTAGACATTTCAATTTAACCATCAACAACGTGGTCAATTACAATTACAAAATATTAATTTCATTGTCCTTTAATCACAACCATTGTGAAAGCTTTGTTTATTTTTAAGTTACTCCTCGCTTATTTGCTTATAGGTATTTATTTATTTATATCAAATGGCAGGTGTTTTGATGGTTATCATTTGTCCTTATAAGTTGACTTCAGGGCTTTACAGAGGGGAAGGAACATCAAATTGAAAAATGTCGACAGGGGGGAGAAACAGAAGAGTGTTTCAAGGTGGGATGAGTACTGTGAAAGGGGTCGAATATGACATACAATGGGGTGATGGTAGTTTGAAGTGAGAAGTCAACTGCCGGTTAATAGACTTTTTTGCCGTATGAGTATACGTTGCCCAGGGTGCACCACGTGGAGGTAAGTCTATTGCCCAACCCATTTGCTAAGAGGTATATTTATCTTTACTAGAGAGTGCATAAATACCTTAAATGAAATACCTTACAGTTAGAAACGACGATAAAGTGGAGGCTATGTCAAATTAGCAAATTTGGTTTAGTTGTAAAGTAGGATTATTCCACATTATCGTAATGTTTGTTGGTTCGTGGTTCTGCAGCGTTTCTGACACTGAGATAAGGCACAAGTGCAATTGGACCAAGCCAATTTGCTAAATAAACAATACCTGTGTGTGTGAATGCAATTCATGTTCATATTATTAATGCCTGGAGGTCAAAACACCATAGATTACGACAACGCAATGATAACAATGAGGGGTGTGCCATAGACTTACCTCCACATGGTCTATTAACCGGCAGTTTACCTCTCACATCAAACTATCATTAACCCACTGTGTATCAAATCCGAACATTTTCACAGTACCATCTTACCTCTTTTCTACCTTGGTGTCTGTCTGTCTCCTTTACTTCTTTGAACCACTATTCTGTTCCCCCTATCGACTTTTTCTCATTTTGATGTGAAGCTCGAAGTCAACTAAAGTGCTAGTGATAACTATCATAAAGCCTGCCATTTAAAATAAATAAATAATTACAATGATGGGAAAGGTAAAGGATTCTGCTATTTGCAGTCAAAACGTAAAAATTGGGATCTTTATTAATTTTTTTCATAGTGAGGATTAATAAATATTTTGAGGAAGATAGCTTTTCCTGCTATATCGTTTTGCATGATCTCAAACCCGGATCAGTTATTTGAAGATTGCGTTTAAAGAAAAAAGTGAAAAGTGAGTCATGCGTTAGTGAAGCTCACTCAATAAAATATCTGTTGCATTATAAACCTTTAAACTTTGCTGTCAGACATATGAAATTTACTCATTTCGTCCATTTGCTAGGTTCGATTATTCATTTTAGAAATAAAGACTATAATTCCAATTATAATTCATGAAAAGTGGATGCTTCTAGAAATAGTGTGGTGAATTATTAAGGACATTGAGAAGAAAGCAACAATTGCAACATGCACATTTTACAAATCTCACTTTTTACCACTTCAAAATGGAGTAAAACATTGTGGTATCATTCCGCAAAATTTAGTCAACTTGCATTTATTTTATTGGACGAAGAGGAGAAAACATTATTTGGTTGAAATTGGACGCAAACCTTGAAGTGTGAGCCTTGGGCTGCAATCCTATCTGTTTATGCCAATATTTGTTTCCACTATTGCCAACTCAAATATACTCACCTTTCGTTTACTTTCTCCATATTCCTGATTCTCTCCCCATCATTGGTCATGCACTTGATGACATGACTCATGCGGGTTTATTTAATTATCTTTGGAGAAGTTGTAAACAATAGAGACATCCATTTCAGACGCTTTGTCTATGCATAGTCTTGTAAACGACTGCCATTGAAACACTCAAATGCAGGGTAGGAGAAACAGGCAGAGGAAAAAGGTATGAGTCATGTGTATTAATAAGGTGAAAACCGATATTCAATAATTGAAGAACAGTGATCCATCGATTTTAGTAGTAGTATTATTATTATGATTGACTTGATGAAACATAGAGCTAACCAAAAACATTACTTCAATTTTGAGTTTAGCATCTGTAGTTTGCGCCAATTTCAATAAAAACGCTTAAGTCAATTAAATTTCTAATTTTGGTTTTTTTTAAGAATTCAAATATAATGGTCTTTTCCAAAAGAATCCTTGTGCAAGTTGATCAAGATTTAGCATGTGCCATTCAATCGGACGATCTTATAGACATAAAATATATTTAATGTAGGAAAAAATTTCATTAACCGTCAGTTGACTTCTGACTTCCAACTACAATGACCAAACTGTATGCCATATTATACACTTCCACATTGCTCATTCTACCTTTTCTCTGCCTTTGCTTCTGTCTCTATTACAACTCTAAATCGCACTTCTGTTCCCCACCCCTCGAATTTCTGTTACTTTGGTGTTCCTTCCCACTGTGAAGTCCGAAGTCAGCTATAGGGTTAATGATAAATATCAATACAC